AGATAGATAGATAGATAGATAGATAGATAGATAGATAGATAGATAGACAGACAGACAGATAGATAGATAGCTGTATAATCTATATTTTATCTCCCTGTGCAGATATGTGAGTTGTTTATTTAGATTTATGTAACCACCCACTTCCTACCATAGCAATTCTGGACAGATAAGAGATTTAAAACACCATACAAATAAATTAAAAAAAACAACTAACATAAGACTTCATTGTGAAAGAAAAAGCTAAAGCTCTTTAGGTTGAAATTTCCATAGGTTGTTCATCAGTTTATATGCAGGAAAGAAAAAGTATATGGACAATATTTTTATTTACTAGGCCATACTTTCAGTCCAGCAGAAAAGAACCAGCATTACATCTTAAATATAGCAGCTGGATCAAATATTTTTGTAATGATTTCATTACGTTAAAAAAAAAAAAAGATTTGTTGCAATGGTGGGACACAATGCTAACACTGGAAAAATTGATTCTGAGCTATTTAGCTTTGCTCTCTTTCATTATAGGGTCACAACATCTTTGCTAACTTGTCCTCTAAGGATTATAGTGATCTTATGCAGCTTCTAAAGAAGTCAATCCTAGCCACAGACCTCACTCTCTATTTTGAGTAAGTATTGGCATTTTCTAATTTTGATAAATGAAATTCTGAAAGAGTTGCAGTCTTCAACAACGTTTTTAAGGATCAGTTGGAGCACCAGGTACACAATGCTATGAGTTAGTATTTACTTATCACTTTAATTATTTATTCTCACACCCAGAGCAATGGCATCCTTTACAGCAGGGGTGAGGAATGATGGCCCTTTTATGACTTGTGGACTTCAGCTCCCAGAATTCCTGAGCCAGCCATGCCAGCCATGAGAGAGCCAGGGTAGCGTAGTGATTAAGGTGTTAGACTAAGACTGGTTAGGCCCAGTTTTTGGTCCGCCTTCAGCTACAGGAATTGCCTGAGAGAAACAGTCAGCCCAACTCCACCTCAAAGGGTTACATTTTATATTAAAACAGGCAGTAAAATAATGAAGTTGCTTTATCTTCTAATCTGATTTTATAAGGCATTAGTGAGACCATTAGCAATTATTTAAAAGCTAGTTGTTAGTACAGGTAGTCCTTGACTTATAACCATTTGTGTAGTAACCGTTCTAATGGTCAACGGCACTGAGAAAAGTGACATGGCGTTTTTCACACTTATGACTATTGCAGCATCCCCGCGGTCATGTGATCAAGATTTGGACACTTGGCAACTGGCATGTATTTATGACGGTTGCAGTGTCCCTGGCTCATGAGATCACCTTTTGGGACCTTCTGACAAGCAACGTCAAAAGGGAAGCCAGATTCACTTAACAACTGTATTACTAATTTAACAACTCCAGTGATTCACTTAACAACTATGGCAAGAAAAGTCATAATGGGGCAACATTTACTTCTTGCTTAGCAATGGAAAATGTGGGCTTCATGCACCTCCTGAGATTACCATGTTTTCCTTAACTTTTCCATTTATTTAGTTGAAACTTGACACAAAAGGGGAGACACAAGAATAAAATATGATCTTAGGAATATGTATTTTTACTAATATATAAAATATATGTGTGGGAAGATCACATATGAAGACTAACTGCCTTATCCATTTTTATATAGTCTTAAGACAGACAAAACAACTGGGAACACATTTTTCAAATGTGATTTTGCTTTTTCAGGAATCAAAAGACATACTAAATAGTGAGCTCCTTATTTTCAATAGTAATAAAAAAGGTTCCACCCACAAGGCAATCTTGTATAGTGCTGACACAATGCAGATTTGCCTTTGAACAGTTAAGGATAAGATTGATTTAAATGTGCCTGTTAGTGTACCGTTGTGAAAATTGTAATCACTGCAGTACTTATTCCCAGAGGGATTGAATGAATCTGCATGAGAAAAATGATATTTTTCTGCCAGCATGAATTTGTATAATATTAGAAACTTTCAGCTACATGAAACTTTCAGCCACATGAAAATGTTCCAATGATCTATATAAAATAAAATGTACGGGAGGCAGTGAATAGTCTCAGGCTTCGTCATTAAGAGGGAAGAAAATATTTGTTATTCTTGGAAAGTTTTTGTCTCTATTATGTATTAAAGTGTTATATATTGACATGTGTATTAATTAGATGTTGTTAGATATTGTTTAATAAAAAGAACCCAGAACATGCCTGTCATCCATAATTTGTGTATATACTGTTGGTGCTCTCTAGCCCATCTAGTGGCTAGAGAGAGGTCTCCAACTCCCAATCCGTGGACTGGCATTGCTCCGTGCCATGCCAGCAACCAAAGCCCATCTGTGGGATGCAGGCATCATGCAAAACCACGCCCCCTTCGGTCCATGGAAAAAAACTTTCTTCCATGGAACTGGTCCCTGGTATCCAAAAGGTTGGGGGCCACTGCTCTAAATCATTTGGAATGCATGAGGTTGAAATAATATATGATCAAGGGCTATGGAAGATGCAGAAGTTTAGAGAGCTAATTTCGGACATTGTGCATTTGTATTTGGGGGAGGCATTAAATATTAAGTAATAGGTTTCCATCATTTCTGTCCTTAATTATTACAAATCTATAATTGGCAGCATATGATGAATGGGCTGTTAAGAGGCATCTCCTGCAATTATCACCTTAACTGCCTGGAACAATCTAAACTATATACTGTAGGTTGTGCTAATTTTTAATTGTTACAATAAGGATTATTTAGCATGTTTTTTTTCTGCTAATTTCTGCATAGTGGGAATGAATTTTCATACACCTAATCATGATCTGATTTTTTCCCATAAGCCGTTCGATAGTATGAACGCTGCAGCTTAATGAAATTTTAAAGTTTGATTTGGATATGTGCGGATGTGTTGTGTTACAGGCTCTGGGACGTTTTTTTATTTTGTTTTTACTATTTAATTACTGCTTTTGAGCACCTAGGATGTTGCTTCCTAAAATGGGCAGCTATACAAATATTTTAAATACATGCATACATATTATAAATATATGTCTTTCCCTGTTTATAATGTTGTAATGTTTGGTTACAGGAAGAGGACTGAATTTTTTGAACTTGTCAACAAAGGAGACTACAATTGGAATGTGAAATATCAACGAGAGGTATTCCGGTGAGATCTTTCTCCTGGGTAAAGTTCACCTGGCATAGGAATTGAGGCACCTGCAGGAATAGGGGGCCAATTCCTCCCAGTGGCTTTAGACGTGCACAGTCATTTCCATACATCCTAGAGGTGCAAAACATTTTTAATTTGAAACGTTTCATATTAAAAAACATCTTATCTTGAGCCCAAAAGTGATTATTTTGAATTCAAAATGGGTTGTTTTAACATTCTGGAATTATTTGGAGCTCAAAACATTTTCGGAAAGGTCAGAACAATCCATTATGAAATGGAAACTGTTTCAAACTCTAAATGTTTTGGACACCTCTGGTATGTCTTTATTAAGAATGTCAAAAAACATTGCTTCTTGAGTCTATCCACTCTTGACATAAAAAAAAAAAATCCTCCCTAAGCTTAAGTGCCTTCATTACCACACTTTTTAAGTATTTACAGTGAAGTTTATGATCATCATGTCTTGCATTCTGGGATTACCAAATGTCCCGATTTCAGCAAAGCTGGAAATCCTCTGAATATTTGCCATGATTCCTGAGATCAATAATGTATGTTTGTATTTATTTATACTCCAAGATTACTTTTTAAAACAACAACAGTATATCAGATATCAAAAACTAAAACCATTACAAACCTGTATACAAAAGCCTAAAGCAATTAGTAGTATGAAGGGAGCTCCTACAAGGTGGTTTCTAAGAGCCATAGCTATTGTTAGAAATTTGGCACCCCCTTTTTCAAAATAACAATTGAGGTTTGATCATGTTAGAGGAAAAGAATGAAGCACCCTTGTGTTTATTTGTTAAATTTAGATTGCATATTTCCATCACGCTTCCCTTTTCCTTGAACAGTCACAACAGCTGTTATTAATAGCTGTTATTCTCCCGTGTTTCATTTCTTTTGGAAGGAGAAAGCTCTAAACATTTAAGGTGCTGGTTGAATATTTTAATGTATTTAATATTAGGGGATATGCCAATAAAGCTGCATAGCAACCCCTACAAAAAAGCAAACCCATTAGCTGATTCAAATCATATTCTCAGTTAAGGCACATAAGTACCCCAGATTGTTTTAATTGTCAGTTCACCCTCTGTCTAGTTCTCATGTGCATGTAGAATTAGTTCACCCATTGTCTCCAATGTAACCATTTATTTATACTGTCTTTCTTAAAATAGACTTTTGATTTAAATGATTTTTTTTAAAGTGAAATGATAGCCTTGATCATGTAACTGTTATTTTAACTTTTTTTAATACTCCTTCCAAATGCCTTCTGTCTTCCATACACAGGTATGGAGAAGGCACACATTGCAGAAAATGGCCCCTTCTTAAAGCAACCTTTGGGAAGAAAAAACTATTTTTTTAATTTGTTACATGGGTCATAAGGGCTCCTCTAAATCAGTCTTCTTTTATGTGGTGACCTCCAGAGACAGCTGAATTTTTACTCCTGTAAAGCATGCATGAAAGCCAGCTGGATGACTTCAGGCTAGTCATTCTCTCTCAGGCCATGATATCAGGCTCTGGCAATAAGCCGGTTGGTCAATTTCTGTTGCAAACCATGGCTCAATATTTGGTTGATCCAGAAAAAATAGAAGACCCTGCACTTGTGGGAAAACACTAGGAAGGAGCAAAATGCATAAAGCTATGTAGACTGCAAATGATGTGTACAGGTAGTCCTTGGCTTACAATGGTTCATTTAGTGACTATTCAAAGTTACAACGGCACTAAATAAAGTGACGTATGACCATTTTTCACAGTTATGACCTTTGCAGTGTCCCCACGGTCACATGATCAAAATTCAGCCATTTGGCAACTGGTTCATATTTATGTCCGTTGCAGTGTCCCGAGGTCACGGGATCACCTTTTGCGACCTTCTGACAAGCAAAGTCAATGGGGAAGCCAGGTTCATTTAACAACCGGGTTACTAACTTATCAACTGCAGTGATTCACTTAACAAATGAGGCAAGAAAGGTCATAAAATGGGGGGAAACTCACTTAACAAATGTCTCACTTAACAACAGAAACTTTGGGTTCAATCGTCGTAGGTGAAGGATTACCTATGGTGTATTTTACACACTTTCACTGCATGAAGGCTAACTTAAATGGTCCACTGCAATCCTCTTTACACCATAAGAAGTTCTGTTAATGTTTTCAAATGGGAATATATAAACCATCAGTATCTTAAGTATTTTGATCTATAGTGCAATGAAACATAATCATGACAGGAGCTATTCTTTAAGTCTTTGTGTTTTAGATGAGGTATAGATAATTTTCTATTTTTCCATATTTCACCCATTCCTGATTTTAGAATACAGATAATACATTTCATTTTTTTAAAATTCCCAGTATTCTTGCTGTTCTTTTGGGCTTGCTTATAGCTTAATATGCTTTGTGCATTGTATATAAATGCTTTCTCCATCTGAGTAATTCCTATCTCCCAACACTTATAAAACATATTAGTAGCCAATGTATTAAACTACATTAAGATGGAATAATTCTTACAATAATCTTGAATATTTATTGCGCACGAACGATAGAAACTGTTCAAACAGTGTCTGGAGTGCCTCTCACAATCATTTTCTTAGTACAGTAGCCAGTTACAACCAGGCAAATAAACTACCCAAGCTGTATATATTACATAATTTCCTTTTCATCATGGCATTCCAATTACCCAGTGTCCTATATTATGACTTTATTAATCAGAGTAGTTAGTCTGCAGTGAAACATGGATCTTTTGTAACACTTAATAGTGTTACAAAACACTATTGTTAGCATTGAAAAGTCATTATCTGATTATATCTGTAATGCATTAGCTTTCTTCTACCTAATGACATAAAAACAGTGACTATTCAAATTCCAAACTGTGCCAATCTTTAAATTGGTGAAGAAGGTGTTAAGTCTGCCTCTTAAAAAAAAAAACACCTCCTGTATTCAGGATGAATCTGTTTAGAAAACCAACAAAGCTTTGTTCCATTTTTTTTGTTCATTTCTGTTTTTCAGATCAATGCTAATGACAGCTTGTGACCTTGGAGCTGCAACTAAACCATGGGAGATTTCAAGACAGGCAAGTCATGATTAATAGCAGCACAAGAAAGAGGAGGTTCTGTCCCAAAAATTTTCCCAGGAACCTGACACGGAAAGGGCCAAATCTGCAGTCAGGTTATAATACCATTGCTTTCATTAAAAAAAATATCACAGTTCTTCTGCTACATCCAGTTTATTGCCCGGTCCTTTTCTTTTTTCTTGCTTAATTGATAACATTGAATAGTATTAGAGTATTTGAAGAGACTCTACTTCCATAATCACATAATCAATTATGATGAACATTTGCATTTTATTAAAAATGTGAATTAAAAAGAAATTTGGCATATCAAATTGACAGTGCTTTATCCTGGCATAAAATATTGAAGGCAAAGGCTTACAATAAATCTTTATGGAAGACCTTTTAATTTTTTTAATTCAATTTTTTTAATTTTAATTTTAAAATTATTTGAGGGATTGCTTAGCTCAGGGGTGTCAAACTGGTGGCCCATGGGCCAGATGCGTCATGCGCAGGCCACGCCCACCCTAGCTCCGCAAAGGGAAAAACATCGTGAAAGGTCACGTGACAGTAATTTAATGCCGCAAGTTTGACACCTGTGACTTAGCTTATTTTTTACCTTAATTTTTTTTTATGCATTTATCTGGAATTCCCATCATTTATACCCAGAATGGCCGCTATAACCTTATTAAACCTGGCGATAGCATTTTTTTTCTCCATATGGAACAGTATTTTAAAATTTCATTTATTTATATACTATAAGTATCCTTGACTTACGACAGGTCACCTTGTGTCCTGTCAAAGTAATAACAGATCCCTGAAAAACTACTTAGAACCTGGTTTCAAAAATGTAGCCACTGCAATGCCCCAGTAGTCACATGAACAACACTCAGGTGCTTGGGCAAACTGCCTGCTCTTATGACTGACATCAGCAACTCTGCAACTTCCCCTACCTGTCTCTCCCTCCCCCATCCCAATGTGAGAACAGGACTATACATTTATTTAGTGAAATCATATTCTAAATTGAAAAAGTATGAATTATGGAACGTTTTATGCAAAAACAGAGTTGCAGTTGCTGAATGGCAGTAAAACAATGGAAATAAAACATGCAAGAGAATAAATGGGTGCTTAATAAATTATTCAACATTGCAAGTAGAGGACGAAATGACTGACTAACCCTTGGTTGTTTATGCACTTGTGGATAAACATTTGTATTATGAATGCTTGTGCTGATGTGTGAGCTGTGTTGGTCAGAAAGGTGAACGTGTATTTGCAGTGTTGGCTGAGAATCCCAAGGATTTGCAGTGAATGTTACACAATTGTATGATGCAACAAGGAGGATGGATTTGAAATTTAATGTATCAAAGAGAAAACTACAAAAATGAATGGCATGCATGAAATGAACATATTGAAGTGGCTTGGTCATGTTTAGAGAGTGAATGAAGGTCAAATTAGAAAACAAATATATGAAGAATGAGTGAATGTATCAAGAGAAAGGGGAGAAAATCAAGGAAGTCTTGGTTACCTGGACCCGATGAAAACATCAAAAGGAGACAGATGAGAGAGGTTTAAATAAGGGAAAGGAGTAAATGAAGCAATGTACAAACATGTTTGAAGCATGGAGGGTTTCCAAGAGTTAAAAAAAGTATGGAGAGACATAGTGAACATATTGCTGGGTAGCAGATTAAGTTATGTTGCCTTTTTTTCTAAACTCATGTTTTAATTTCCTTTATTATTCTTTTATTATCTATTATTATTTTTCTGCTCTTGGGCATAATGTTGCACAGCATGACAGGCACATATTATGCCTAGGTATTCACCAAGGGCATCAACAAGTCAAATACTTACTTGGGTTTAATCTTTTTACTTAATAAAGGCTTCAGTCTGGATTAATAATTAATAATATGTGTTTTAGGTAGCTGAACTTGTAACAAGTGAGTTCTTTGAACAAGGGGACAGGGAGAGATCTGAATTGAAACTCACACCTTCTGTAAGTTAACTACTTTGGTAATTATCTATTGCTGTAGAGTGAGCAAACATAGTGTAATGTACTATAATGTAGTGTCATGTGATACAAGGATATGATATCATTAATATTGTAACTATATTCTTTCTCACTATCACTCTGTGTATAAAAATTGAGGTGTGCAAAGTTTTGAATTCCATTCCTGAAAGATACTTTGAATCATGCTAGATAGGACTATCGGATCAGGCTTGCAAAAATGAAGACTATCACTAGATGGCAGCAATAATTTACTGATCTTTATATCGTTCTGCTGCCATCTGATGGCTCTGTGGATTTTTGCAGCTCAGATCTGATAACCAGACTTCCCAGAAGTGTGTGAAACTGAGCACAATGGAAATTACTTCACAGTGGAAGCAGGAAGAATTGCACTGAATTTCTCCAAAATGAATAGCAAAAATAATGCTGCTTATATTTATTTTCTGCTATTTTCCTATGCAACGTAAATGCCAATAATGGATTGCATTTGTTTTATACTAAGGAATTAAATTGTAAAGCAGTCAAATAAATGAAACTTCTGCATGCCCTAAACAGGGCCAGAGAATAATAAATGGTTTATTTTTCATTCTAGACAAAAGACAGGAAAATGTGTGTAAAGATTGATTATGGTTTTCAAAGTGTTCCGTTTATAACAATTTGATCCTAGATCCAAAATATTGGATGAAGCAGCTTCTGTAAAATACTCTAGAGTAATAAAGCATGACACATTCCTCTTCTCCGCTCAGGCTATATTTGATCGGAACAGGAAAGATGAACTGCCTCGATTACAGCTGGAATGGATTGATAGTATCTGCATGCCTCTCTATCAGGTAATTGTGCATATTGCTGGTGCAGAGTTAAAAGAAGGCCCAGGGGTTTTGCCTCTCAGTGAAAGGAGGGGGAGGGAGAGAAGAGGGAGATGACGTAACAATTTTTGCAGCTTTTTCCATCTCACAGATCCTACGCATTTCATTTTCCTCCCCGGAGGCATAAACTACACTTGATAAAGCAGCAAAGGTACTTGTAATGGAGAAATCTATGCAATGAAATGAGTAAATATAGATCAGGGCAAAATCAGTGCAGTCTGTCAGTAAAGAAAGCAAATCAGATATGAAATAATTGTCTTCCTCTACTGTTCCCTGGGTTTCCTTCGTCTGTACGTTCATGCTCTTAATCCATTGGTTTTGGTTTGTAAGTTGCAAGAACCATAGCAGGGTTTTGTATTTTCCTCCCTTGTTTATTTGTGATGAAGATAATTATTGTTATTATTAGTATTTTTTAAATTTTTCTAAAAGATAAAACTTTCACTACAACACAAACAAGGCAAAGTATTTTCCTTTTTAAGCAAGTGCTCCATTTCAGAGTTACTGTCATGCCCCTGTCTGAGTCTGAATCCATAGCTGACAGGAAGTGGGAGTATGGCTCCAGTTGGCTGTGGAGGAAACTGGGGAAGGGCAAAGTCCGGCTGGGCAGAACAGGGAAGAGGTAGAACAAGGGAGAGGGAGTTCAGAGGAAGACCCAGGCCCACCCCCTCTTCATCCTAGGGCAATCAAGGAGGGACAGAGAAGAGAGCAACATGGGTTGTGTGGCTTACAGAGGAGGAAAGGGCCCTCATTCCTTTCATTAGGCACACCTGGAAAGAGAATTTAAAAGAGATGCAAACTGAGTGTGGCGTCTGCTGGGAACAAACATGAGTTTATCTTGTGTTGACTTTGGTTATCTACATTCCTGGCATCCTCCCAACTGGATTGATTTATTGCCATTCCTTCATATCTGGAATTCCTTCTCTTGCTTTGCCGGATTAATTACCTCATCTTGCCTTGATTGGACTTATAAAGGTTTTGTTGACAACGTTTTGGACTTGAATCTCTGCAGCCAAAGGTTGTTCCTAGGAGAGTTTTTCTCCAGACCAGAAGGTAACCAGGACATTAGGGGCAAAGTTGGATCGAATAAAGGGACACCTACTTATTATTTGACTGTGTTTCCTTTGTGCCACGTCCCAGGTCATCACAATTACAGACAGCACTCTGCTTACAGTTGGGTTACATCAGAGGTGATATTCAGCCACTTCGGACCGCTTCTGGCATTTTGGTAGTGGAAATTTTGAGTAGTTCAGAGAACCAGTAAATACCACCTCTGGCTGGCCCCGCCCTCCCACCCCCACTGTTTCCTGTCCTATATTCTCTTGTTTTTTAGCACAGCTGGTTCATGCAGCAGAGCTAAAAAACAGCTCAGCTCACCAGTGCTGACACCGAGGGTGATCTTTGAGTGCTGTGCGCACGAGAAGTGCAAAGTGTGTTCTCATAGACCCGATAGGAAAAGATTTGGAATCCCACCACTGGGTTACATCCTGAGAGGCTGTTCATAAGTCTGTTTGGTTTGCAAGTCCAACAAACGTGAAATCCTATGCAGTGCAGCTCTTGCCTTGCATGGGTGACGGCACCATGGTAAAACCTGGCATAGGCTCATCCTCTGGAGTAGAAATGGCAAATTCCCTGCTTTCCTGAAAAAGCAGCCCAGTGGGCTTTGAATAGTGTTGGGAAGAGGGCAAGACAGGGAGGTTGGGCTTCCAGTGAACTACAGGTATGTGTGGCACACGGAAACCAAGCCAACTTCTCCCAACCATTGGGTGAAGACGTGGGATTCAATTTTTTTTACTACCAGTTCTGTGGGCATAGCTTGGTGGGTGTGGCAGGGGAAGGATACTGTAAAATCTCCCGTCAGGGGTGGTATTTGCCAGTTCTCTGAAGTACTCAACATTTCTGCTACTGGTTCTCCAGAACTGGTCAGAACCTGCTGAATACCATTTCTGGTTTGGACAAGTTTGTTCATACTGACAAAACTTTGCAAATTGACAGTACGTTAGTAAGGTCTGTACTTCTATTGACAGTACGAAGTAAGGTATGTACTTCTAAAATTTGGTGAGCATGTGCTAGTCAGACAAGAAGTGCTTAGGACACTGCAGAAAACTATTGAGCTGCCAAAGGAAAATTATAATGGAGGACTTTTTGCTTAGTTGTTAACTCAGACTCTGTGCAAGTCCTTTATGTAGCAGTCTTTCCTCTAGTGCTTTTTAAGACAGGTTTTGCATTGACATGCATTTCAATTGTACATTTTATTAAAACATATCAATACGAATTAATATGGATGCTAGTAATTTTTTAAATTGTTTTTAAAATTGAGTTTATACATTTTTATATCATTGGCACTGATTTTTTCAAAAGAATTTTGCAATACGTTTTAATGGAGTTCAGGATCACTATACTTCTTCAGCTGCACTTAGAATAGTTTCAAATAGGCCTCATATTACTGAAGATTAGAGGAAAGAAACTGGATTGATTGATTTGAATATTTATTCATCTATCCCATTACTTGAGCTTACTCAACTCCAAATATGACCTGAGGGGGTTCACAAAATTAAAAGCATGATGTAAAAAAGAATAATGAAGAAAATCATCCAGTATGCTCGCCAATCATCCTGACCAAAGGCTTGATGGAAAAGCTGTATTTTTAGAGCTCTTTAAAGGCAGGTAGCAAGTTTCTGGGGAAGCTGCTGTTTCAGGAAGCAATAGCTATAACAGAGAAGGTCTGCTTCTTGGATCTTGCTGGACTACATTGCTTAAATTGATGGGACTTAAAGCAAGAAGATTCTGTCTGATTGTTCAGGAGTGTCAGACACTATGGGATCAGATAATCCCCCAGATGGCTTAGGCCATATAGGTATTTATAGACGATAATTAAAATCTAAGACACAACACACAACAAAATGTATTAAAGACAAAAAGTATGGGAAATAATTAAAAATTGTTTTGATGCTTCTGATAAAATTCTGTCGATAGGACCATGATGGATACCAAATGAATCTTGTGCAGGGAAGGTTTTTTAGGTAAGGACATTACTAAACTCGGGCCCCATTCAGGAACAATCTGTTTCATCTCAGATATTTGATGTTGGAGAAGAATCATGAAGACATAACATAATAATTATTTATAATATTTTGATTTTCAGCAGATTGAAGGACTGATTTTTCCCTTAACCCTATAGTGATCATATAGCAAATTTTACAATGTATTGTTTCAAGTCAAGTAATTGCAATCTATTAAATATCTCATAATAAACATTTGTTATTATTTTATATTACAGTGCTGATCAATTAAAAATAAGTTAAGTGGGGGAAGAAGTCAGAATGTGATGAAATAAGACAAAGAATGCTTCTTCAGCCAGAAGTTGTATGCTATTTAACTAGCGTTTTTAGCCCAGGAGAGAGTATAGAATTATCCATGGAGATAAAGAACGTTCAGAACATTCTTTCTGGATGAGAAGGTTGGATATAACAGTTAAGGATTCAACTTTATACAAGCAGAATTTTACTAGCAAACAGAGATGCATCTAAATGTCTTTTTCCCCCTCTGTTCATGCTGTATAGCTATTATTCCTCCTTTTTATTATTCCGGCATCGTCTAATGCCATACTACCCTAAGGGGTAAACAGAAAACTTGATGTCATAGTCACATACTGGGAGAGATGCTCCCTAGAATATAAAACTGAGTTTTAATTTCCAGTACAGCCACTGTACCAATGATGCATGGAGACACTGTAAATCCCATTTACACATGGTTAAGAAACCCAAGTTGGAGCTTCATGCTCTACAGATACCCCAGGCTCTGGGTCTCTCTCTCCATACCAATTTATTTTTCAGTGGTAATAAATGGTCTAGAACACACAACATAGAACATTAATGATAATAGCAGCAGGGCGTTTAGTGCTTATGCAGAATTCAGCTTTTTTCTTGCAAATGCAAAGAAGGGACTGCATAAAACAGACATGACTATTAGAGATCATTTAACTCAGACACATTGCCCTTCCCTGTGAGGCTCTACTTCCTACCACTTTTTTTTTCTTTTTTATGGGCTAGAATGTTTATCTGTTAGAAGTCGCCTACACTGTTAGACTGGGCCACCTTGTAAGATACTGATACAGGCTGGCAGCAAAACCAGCAGCTTTGGTTATACCTCTCTTCTAGTAGCCAGGGGCACTTGATCCTATAACGCCAGTATAGATGGGACAGATAATATTTTTATACTTATTATCAGTTTAAATTAGAAAAGTTATATTTTAGATTATGAGGTAGCAGCCCACCTGCAGAAATATCCCAAGCATCCCAAGATCACTGCAGTAAATTATCATTACCACCAAAGGGAGAAATAGCCAAATAGCCAGTGCTGTTTTGTTTCATTTTTTATATTTTACAGAAGAAGAAAAGTAATAGAAGCTGGGGAGAAAGTTATAAAAAATGTCCAGCCTTGTGTCATTAAATTATTGCTGTTTTCTGGATTTTAGAAAGATGAATTGTAATTGCCAAGCCCTCAACTTTGCACACGCACACATTTGAAGTTATGCATCTTTTAATGTATACAAATCCAAATTTGAGAATCACATAACCCCACAGGTTAGGTAAACGTGTAAAAGACCAGTATACAGTACAAACTGGGGAGGGCTTTGCAAAGCGGGGGGAAACTAATGAGTATGGGATTGAGAAAGGAAGTTAAATAAAACCTGCCAGTCACTGCCACCAGTTTCTGCCAGTTCATCTGAAAGAACACAAGCCAATGTGTTTGAGTTGATTTGCAAGTTGTCTAATCCAGGACCCCTTTGTAGCTTTTCTCTCTCTCTCTCTCTCTCTTTCATCTAAGTCCACAACAGAATTGAAGGTAAGAATTGAAACACTGAGATAGGAACTAAAGGATTCCATTTAAAGAAAAGGTATGAGAAATCCCATCTTTTCCCCACTGCATTGTTACGTGCTGGTAGCCATCTTCTGACATGGAAG